CCTTTCACAAAGCGAATTTATCATTAAAATGTCGCAGCGATGTCCGAGGGGTTGAGGTGTCGGACTTAAAATCCAATGAGCATTGCCCGCGCAGGTGCGAGAGTTGCTCGCTTTTTTAGATCATTCCATGCGTAGAAAAACCCTTTGTGGGGGTTAGTTTCTAATTCTCACCTCATTTTTGCTGAAATCCTTTTTTTCAGCTACCGTATCATTTCTTTATACGTTAGTGAGTTTTAGATGATGTGTCGGGTGAAATCCGTTCAGTCAGTTTTGCGAGAGAAACCCGGATGAGAACGCAGCATCGATATGATGAAGAATACAACCGAAAGCGAAAGATGGCGATTTCTGGACAATACTCGCCAGCAGCTCCACTGCAGGCGTGCGATCAACTAGATGATAACAAGCTGTTGGCTCGTATGAAGGATGGTGGCCTATACGCTGAAATATATATGGCTCCAGATATTCAAACTGCAGCTGAAAAATTTCCAAATCTCAATGATCCATCACGGTGAGTGCTGTAGTTATTAATGTTGTTAATATTGCTATTCTATAATACGTGAATACTTGGACACCTGAAATAAATCTGTTAAAACAGAAGTTTGAATAAAATTATAAATTATCGGAACTGCTGGGTTATTGCAACATTCGATGAACAAAGAACCCTAGAGCGATGCAATATTCATTTATTCAGATTTTGCGACCGACCAGTCCGCCATAATAACATGCACTGATTGCAGGTTTTCAACGCTGAAAGAAAACTATGTTTGTGATAATGACTGTGAATATCAAGCTGGAATTGCACGAAGCATCATGATGCACGCAAGTCGAAAAAGCGTAACGCAAGTTCTTCGGAAGTCTTCACACTTCATAAATTAACTCAATAGTTGGCTACTGAAAATATGGAATGAGGAGATTTGTTCTCGTTGTTTAAAGTTGATCATTAAGCATTTTTGTCTATCGCTGCTTCAGATTGGATTAGGATTTCCCATCAAATTACGATTGCGGACGGAAATTATTGTCATTGCAGAAGGAAAACCTCATCACGAACGCATCATACGCACTCGGAATCTAATACTTGGTGGCATGAAGAAGAGTGGAATGTGGAACAGCATTGGCGAGGAGACCGGACGCCTCGATGGGGTGTTCAATCACGGAAATTTCTTGATCAGATACCTTCGGATGTTAGAGTTGAATTAATTGCCAACAATGCCTCAGCAGTTAGCTCATTTCCATCGGATTTCGGCCATACAACTTATTCGAATAGGAGGAAGCCACCCAATGACAAATCTTTGACCAGCACTCAACGCCGATATAATCATGCACCTTGGGAAATTGAATCAGAAAACCTTGCTAAGAATCCTGAAGGGCAATATCAAGAATCGGCTTCGATAGGACAAGAGGAGATCGTGCACGAAAGAGTAGCGCAGAAAGAACGGAAGCGACGCAATTTGCAAGACGGACGAGCGCTGAAGACACTCAATTCGGGTACTGCAAAAGGAGTGATTGGTAAGTAGAGGGCAGAATATTTTCAATGGTACGTAACTCCTCGGACCGACGAAATTTTTGCTTTTTCTTGAGGTACGACTGTAGCGTTGGAATGTGACGACGAACCATTNGAAAGCAATACAGACTCAACACGAGGGTTGGTGCCTGAGATTTATATCTTCCTTCTCCAGTATTCCATTACAAATCTGCAACTGTTTATTTCATTAGCTTATATCCAATATGTTGGCAAAAAATTTCCCAAACAATAACTCCGAGCAATCAGATCCGATAAAACACGATTAATCTGAGTAACTCACTGCAGGTTTAGGCCTTTCTGTTTTCGCCATTACCACGAATACCGCGTTCTTTCTTCTTTGGCATTCTTTCTTGCAATCATAACTTCTACTATTGATTCATCTATTATTCAGGTTTAGAGACTAATCACACAGATTTCCCAATAGTTTCATGCAATGGAAATTTTATTTGAGATACCGTATGTGTCAAACTTGCCATGCTATACGACAGTTACCTGACGGTTACTTTCCACGAGTGCTGAATGAAGTGATCTGCGCTGAAGACCTATGTCTACGTGGTGAAGGCACTTGCCGGCAGCGGTTTCTTCCATTTAGAGTAAAATTTCATGCTAAATCAGAGTTTCAACAATTCGAAGTAATTTGCTGCAAGGCGGTAGTTTTACTTGCTCTAAGCACACAAATTTTTGCTGGGTGATCATCATTCACCGCCGCGTCCACTGACAAAACAACAGTGATCATCGCTGCCGTCCCCAATAATTTTTTTGATTATCATCAGGAAAGTTTACATAATGCGAAAAAAATTAAAAAATGGAAATTCGAGTGATAAGTCTGCAGAGAGTTTGCATTATGATCATTCATAACTCATCGAATAATTGGCTCGCACTTTTAGATACTGAAAAATTTCGGTAACAAATCGTGCGGCAGATGGGAAGAGATTAGCATTGAATTAAGAACTTGTTGTGATTGTATCGTACATCCACAATCACCTTTCGTTAAATACGTTGATTGAGCACTCGACTGTGCGAATGGAATCGACTGTTCATGAATATGTTGAGAGAACATTCGAGATTTCTCAGATGGTCAAGCAACAATCAGCAATAATCTTCGATTGCCATAATCCACAGCTACAGTATTTTGCGTTGTAACGGTGTTGACTACTAATTTTTGCTCACTGTTGTTTACAATCATTTATCAACAAATTGTGCTGTGTCACGTGCTTGAAGTGATTTTGTTTCGATTCCATAATTAACATCATTGATGCAACATTTTTGTGTTGCTGTATAAATATGTCCAAGCGTCGCAATTTGCAACGTGATTACAACCAATGGTTTACATCGTAATTACCAGCTGGATATTACAGTTAATATGCAGTAAAACTCATCCTCTAGTCGATTTGTCATCTCGGGGAAGATCCACAGTCCTTTTGTAGTTGGACAAACGGAAACCCAAACTTCTTGCTTGAATCAGATTACTGAATTGAATCTGACCCACTCCAGTGCTAATCCAACCGGTTTTTAAAATAATATATCATACCATCTATTCATATTGAATTTTTCGCAGTCTCAATGAGCAGGAAAGGCAGGGATTCTTTTCCTCGAATAAGATCTGCTCACCAGGCTCGAACTGCTGACCTCCGCATCTCTCATTCACTTACAAGTACGACGCGCTAA